GGGGGGGGGGGGGGGGGCGTGCGTGGTGCGGGGCTGTAGGGTTCACCGCGGCGGAGCCCTTGTGCCGTATGAGTCGTGCACCCACAACCCCCTCCCCACACAGGAGCTTGGCACAGCCCACATGTTCTTTGCAGAGGCTCCAGGCGTCCTCGCATGTGCATGCATCACGGCCGCCCGGCGGACGCCATGCAAGCCCTCAAGGCTGCCAGCTATTGGGTCACTCGCTGCGAAAGACCTTGCTCTGAAACCGTAGACCTTAAACCCTAGATGGTAATCTCAAACACCTTGCTCGGAACGCTCACCTCGACTCAAGAATTGCCCGCAGCTCTGTGGTGTCCGTAATCGCGGGCACCCACACCTTGGGTTAGCGGCGTCAGCAAAGGGCAACGATCGGAAGAGCACGGGGCAGGGGGTTGAGCTGCAAGGGTAGGATCCAGTCACATGGGAAGACCCTGCAACAGAGGAGCCCGCACCTGGGAACACCACAGGCGCTCCGCAAAGCCCCGACTCTACTCAGCCCGAAAATCTCCGACTTTACAGCCCACAAAGCCCCGACTCTCCAACTCACTGTACAAGACCGGCACCATCCCGCCGAGCCGCTTCCCCTGCCGTCCCTCCCCTGCCCGCCCGTCCCCCGCGCCGTGCCGCGCGGCGCTGAGCACGTTAGCGCCCACCGCGCCCCCGCCGCCAACCCCACCTGCGTGAACCTGTTGCTCAGCGCGGGGCTCAGCTCCTTCTTGCCAAAGTCGCCGCCCGGGTTCATGGTGGCCAGCACCAGGAAGCCGGGCGCGCCCACCACGACCTCCGCGCCCTCGCCGCCGCGCTCAGCGAGCGTCAAGGTGCGGCCCGGCTCGAGGACGCTGCCGGTTGGGTGATTTGGTGGGTTCAGTTGAAGGGGGGAGGCGTCGGGGGTGCGAAGGTCTGGGGACATTCTCTGGTGCCTGCTGCAATTTGCAGGACACAATACATACAATCGGTGACATCATCACTTTATCAGGCATGTACACCTGGCACGGCGCCGCGAGAGGCCTGCCGCCTTTCTCGGTGGAATGATATGAGATCTGATGATATGAGATCTGGCGGTTCGAGGGCCCCGCCCACCTGTTCAGCCGCTCCAGCACGGCGTCCTCCGCCAAATTGACCTCATCCACCAATAGCATGTCCCCCTGCCTCATGGCCAGAACCAGCGGCCCGTCCGCCCACGCAAACGGCGCCCGCGCCGCGGCCGCCGCCGCATCCATTTCCGCCAGGGCACTGCGCAGCGCCGCTGCCGCGGCCGCCACGGCCCCAGTCGCGTCAGGGCCGTCCCCGATGCTGTTGCCAGCAGCGGCTGCGACGGCGGCGGCGGCCGCCTTGAGCGGCGCCACGCATGCGGCGTGCATCGCAGCGGCAGCGCCGGCGACCTCCGCTGGCGAGCATGCGCTGCCGCCGCCCTCCCCGCCCGCCGCCGCTGCTGCCGCCGCCGCCGCCGCGGCCGCCGCCGCCTCGTCCCCTCCGAGCGCGCCGCACAGCGCGCCGCAGGCGCCCGCCGCGCGCGCGGCGGCCGCCGCGAACGCCGCCGCGTCCCTCTCCCTGTGCCGCGACGGCCGGAAGCCCCCCAAGAAATCCGACGTCTCGGTGTGCTGGTTGCAATTCAAAATCCGCAGCCGCTGGCCCCGCATGAGCGCGAGCAGCTGGCAGACCGTCGTCTTGCCGACCCCCGTCTCCCCGACAAGCAGCACGGGCTCCTGGTGCCGCAGGCAGCGGTCCACCAACGAATACAGCCGCCGCATGCTCCTCGTCCACACCACGCCGCCAAGTGCAGCACGTATGGCTTCCGTCTGGCCGGGATCTGCCCCGGCGCCTTCCCCCGCAGCGCCGCCGGCGGGGGTTGAGCGCTCGGCGGCGGCGAGGGCTGAGCGGAGGCGGTCCAGGGGGGCGGAGCCCTCTCTGTCGTAGAGGGCTTCCATGTTTAGGGTGACCTTCATGGCAGCTTCCAGGACCTGAGAGGTTTGGGGGGAGGG